CTAGTGGATTTGGGCACAGTGAGAGAGAGCACGAGGTGGCTGCTTCTATGTTGGGTCTCCAAGCCCATCAGGCTGCAGCTCTGGTGCTCGGGGTCACAGCGCCCTACGCCAGGATCTCCATTCCAGGAGCCCCTTTTAAAAGCTGGAATTCATGTGCCTTCCTCCGCTCCGTCTCTCAGCACTTCGCCCCGTTAAAGAGCCGGCCATTCTGTAGATGGAAGTTCTACAGAGAAGGGGTCTGTACGGAAAAGGGTGTCACCGGTGCACTCCATGCGACCTATCAAAAGCATAGTGCCTCTTCCTAACAGTACCTTTGGGGGGTTTTGTTTTATTATTAAGTTAAAAAAATTAATCACATGAGACACAAATTTAAGACCAATGATGACAGCTTTAAAAAATCTCTTTAAGAAAACATCAGGGAGAAAATCAGAGTATGTGTCTGTGTGGTGTGTGTTTGCATGTGTGGTGTGATGTCTGTCTGTCTCTGTGGTGTTTGTTGGGGGGAGTGAAGGAATGAGGAGAAGTAGAAGGCACGACTTATTTTTTCCTTATTACTTATTTTTAAGACCTTCTTCTAAGCTTTAATATTCTCATAATAATTTCAAATGGAAATCTCTTAATCATACATCTTAGTCCAACATGTGATTCTAAGTCCTGATAATAATGCGATTGGTTGAAAAAACAAAAAACGAGAAAAATCTGCAGTTGCACAGTAATAGATTGGCACCACATATCATCTTTCATTTGAATGAGGAAGTGTCGGTGTTGGAAGGCCCCTCTGTGCCCGCACGGATGTCCAGGTTTATAACCAAGCAGGCCACATTCATTTTTCGTATGGCCCTGCTAACAAAGCATCTCAGATTGCTCTGGGATGCACACGCCCCATTCTCTCTAACCAGTTCTCTCCAGGGCACGAACATATGGCTGATCCCCGTTCATCCCTAGGGCTGCTTTATGATCTTGGATTCTCCTCCTATAATAACAACACAGGAGGACAGGGCTCCACGGCTGCATCTCTGGGGACGCATTTGGGGAAGAAGGGAGCTCAGTCAAGGTGAGACCTGCCCCTCCCCAGAACCGATGAACAGAGTTGGAAAAATTTTGAGGTGAAAATTTCTCTAAGGTGAATGCAATCAATTTGGGTACAAACCACTAAAGGACAGGAAAGAAAATAATTAGAGAATAAAACACGCATGATCATACAGGCCAAGATATTCCCCCTCCCCTCCTCCACCAGCATTTGCATTTTAATCTCCAAATTGAAATGTAGCTGTGTATCAGGCTGATCCACACTAATGGAGCAGTCTAGGTTCCGAGAAAGGGGAACAAAACACATAGTCACATAGGGAACCGCATGTTGCACAAGAGTGGATTCCTAGATACTGCAAATCCTGCTAATTAGTTCCTAGCATGGCCGATTTTCACCTGAGCTTGCTTTCAGGTAGGGGGTGTGAGTGTCTTAAAAATGCACTGCACTGAAAGGAAAACACAGTGATTATATAAAGATATGTTAGGAATATCAAAGTCAAAATGAATGCTTGAAAAAAGACAATAGGCTTTGCAATGCCGGTATCACAAGTCAGAAAAGTACAATAAACACTTAATGACAATGCCATGCACACTATTTCCCCTCTTCCCACCCACCTTTTTGACTCACTGTAAAAAAGCTGCCCACAAAATATGACATGTAGTGATCACTCTGCTCCCAGCATGCATTGGGAGATGCAGCATTGCAAAAAACAAAGAAAAAAAAATTAAAAGACCCCGGACAAAATGGGGGAGGGTGAGAAGAAGCTCAGTTTAATAAAAAAGAAAGAAAAATTGTGCATATTAAATAAAATTGAAAAGATCTTTTTTTCTTCTTCAGGAAAAAAAACACATACAAAAAAAACAGCTTCATATAACGCCACAAGGCCACCTCCAGAAAGATCACCCATACACAAAGATACAGTATCACATGATACAGCAGAACATGCAATGCCAAATGGTCCCATCAGACAATACAGAATAAATAACGGCATATCACTCTCGGAATACTTTTGTGCAAAATTCTGAAAGGCCATGACCCGAATCACAGACTAAAAGTACAGAGCCATCGATCTGTAGCATGGGGGCAAATCCACACCAGCGGATTCCTCTTCCCTTAAGCTCCCTATCGCTCATGAAGAGGCAAAATTTGAGCCTTTTGTACTTCTTCATTGCGGCCCACATTTTTTTAGGGCATACAAACAGACATCTAAAGTCCCAGGGGACACTCATAAATGAGTTATTTTCATAGGTTAAATGAAGTGGGAGAAGTATTGACTTTCCCCCTAATTCTCGATGTGAAAATATAATTCTTTGACCAAACTAAAAAGAAATTGATCCCACACTCAGGCGAGAGAACCTTGAGGCTGGGTGCAGGGCAAGCTGCGATTGGGCGTGGTGGTGTTCAGGTCTAGTCCGCAGCAGCCCTGGGGTGGGGAATGGAGTTGATCCTTTCTGTCCAGAATGACACTTTGTCTAAGTGGCACCAGGACTTGATTTTTTTGGGGGGAGAGGGGGACTATGCCCCTACAACAGAAGGCTCAGAAAATATCCGTAGAGCAAGTGGAACGTTTTACTAAATGCACTTTAAGTCATTGGGAGAAAAATTCAGACGTGTGTGTCTGGGGGTGGGGTGGGGAGTCGATTAAAACAGGGGGTTGGGAGTGGGGGGTGGAGAGAGCATATGAACGAGAATGAATATGAATGAACAGAAAAGAGAGATGGTGAAAGTTTAAATCTGTGATTGTCATGTGAACAATCCACGCAGGAGAGAATTGCCTGACCATTCCCATCATTTGCACAAAGAAAACAAAGAAAGGGCAGATGATACAGTACCTCCATGGTCTGAGACTGATGCATGGCTTTGATTGCATTCTGTGCCATTGCCCTTGTAGAAAATGTGACAAACGCACAGCCTGTGGGGAACAAGGGGACAGGGAGCAGGAAAGACAAAAAACAACAAGACAAAAGGGTTGGACGCTTGTTAAACCAACACAGTCTACGAGAACTGCCACAAGACGACACTGTTCTCAGTAGTACATAAAAATAAACAACTTCTCTTTGGCTTTGCTTTTAAATCTTATTTTGCCTTTTATTTACAGTGCTGACTTGCTAATCTGACCAAAGCAGAAAGATTTATTAGTTTGCTTATTTATTTTTTAATGGAGAGTAGGGGTGGAAGTTGGGTACTTTTTTTTTTTTGCCACAGGGTTGAAACGAGCAATTTCTAGTTTGCATTTTGTAGAATAAAAAGTTGCTGCTTTACATTTTCTTCTTGGACGATCATCTTTACTTATGGCACCCACACATTAGGGCTTTGTATTTCAAAATTTATCCTTGATTTTTAAGAAGACAATATTAAAAATCCTCACACCAAGGGCAAATTAGCAAATAGAATTCAAGAGCTCAGAATGTCAGCAAATAATATCTTATATGTCTTTCTATATATACACACAAATATATCTAATCTCTTCTGGGTAGCTGAAAACATATATATATATATATATATATACACATATATATGTGTGTATAGATATAAATTGATGCTATCAAATACAAACAAATGTACCAAATACTTCACAAACTATTGAGTCATCACTCATTATTAACAGAAACAAATGCTCTATTACTCTTAGAATATTCAACAATGTCTATAAAGCAAAATTGAGACCTTTAGATTTTATTTATTTCAAATCTTCACGATTTTTGAAAGTTCCAGCTCTCTGAAGTGTACCAGAGAATCAACCTAACATACACAAAACCCACTGTACATTTCTCTGAAGGTTTACTGGGTGGCCCATAAAACTCGCCACATCTGGTTTTTCCCCCTTGTGCAATAAAAATCCCTAGCATCTATATTGCCTGTTCCTGCTTCTTGTACCGGTGCTGGCCACCACGCAGGTCACCGCTCCAACTACACGGCTCATTGGCCTTTTCACTAATAAAAACACTGCCTTCTGAAATTTACATTTTATTCATCATGCACCCTTGGGCTTCTTAGGGAAGAAGACTGTGAAATTAATGCAGATTCAGGCTGATTTTATAATAATACCACAGCACACTAAAAGCTTAGCTAACGCAACACAGACTTATTCATTTATGATCTCTAATGGCTTTAAAAGTGCATTGATTTTCAGCTTCTTTAGCCTTGCACAGTTTGAACTTAGGTATCAGAGAATAATTTAGTGTTCCACTCAATTTCCTCAAAACATTATTATTATTACTACTTAAAAAGATTTCCAAATGAAGCAGAGCTAAACACCGAGAGAGAGGAGAGAGGGAGAGAGAGGGAGAGAGAGGGAGAG